CGAACTAATTGCAAACTAGTCCCGGTTGGATCGGATTTTTATTGGGATAAAACAAACCAATGCCACACAAAATTCTGTTGACCGAATGCAGACCGGTGTTGAGGTGTTTTGCGAGCGCCTATGAACAGATCACTTTGACGAGTATCCCAAACTTAACTATCTTTGATCAGGCAACTGAATGTTTTATGTGTGACACACTTGTATGATGAACAGCAGACGGGGAGTAGACACCATAATGACGTACGAATTGGAAAGCAAAATATGTGAATATGTCGTGTTATTCCGGTTGGGTATGCTCCATCTCCTACAATGATATCCAGCCAGATATTCTAGCTAATGCTTTAGGACCAACATTCCCCAAGCGCAGATAAATGAATTATCGGTAGTTGTGCATTGTGTGTAACTTTTGCAAGCTTTCAGTTCAGTTAAAAACCATACACTCTGACCGTCACAAAGTACATCTTGTCATCTAAGGTTAAGAGAAAGTTCACTCATTGACCTCTCTTTATTCGTGAGTAAACGTGCAAGATAAAGTATGGGTGAATCGCGATAAGCTTTAATTTGAGATAAAATTTGACGGAATTGAGAGCATGTGGCCAGATTGGAACGACAACGTGTCAGTTCTGCATACAATGGGTGAGGTCAGGATTTGTGAGAATCCTCTCAGCGAATTTCACACAGGAAGTTACGTGATACTCTAAAAGCTTCACAGCTAACTCATTCACAAGAATGAAAGAATCGTCGTATTCATAATAGTTACATTAGCTCAGGGAAAATAATTAGGGAATAGTAGAATAAAATGTGGAAAATATGGATACACAAAGTTAGAAATAAGTGACTGGGATGCGCAAAACGAATGACAGTGATCCAGTTCGGAGGGATGAGAGAGGTTCAGGTGATTGATACCGCAATGCTCGAGCGCATTGTGAGTTTGGCAGCGATCGGTGAAGTTCGCTTCCTAGTATTTCGTTGTACGATGATGATGATGTGAAATGAAAGTCGACGCAGTTTACCAATGCAGTTGTGGATGTGGATTGACCAATGAAGATTGCTGTCTGTGGTTATACCAAGATAGTTGACAGAGTTCACCCTGGATAAAGAATTGTTATTAATCACTGTGGGGGTCTGTCCGACATGGAGAGCGAGTAAAACTATATAAACACTAAACACATTTACTGGGGTTCGGGGTTAGCCCCGATGAGGAGGAGAATGACTGAATTTGTTCAAGATTGTCTATAAAGGAGCTTAGACAGGAGTAATGAATGGGTTGGCACAGCACGTCATCTGCGTATTTCAAAATTCGTGCAGGAGAAACACGAACATCAGTGGAAAATAAGTATGGGGATAGCAACACTCCTTGAAGAACTCCGGGGTTGTTGACTAAGGGTTTGGATGAAGACTTCCCCAATCTAGTGATTTGTACTCTATCAGTAAAATAGTTGAATAGCTCACCTAAGAATTGCTTGGGGCATTCAAATGATTCCAGTTTTGTAACAACTTTAATCGAGGAATGGAATCAAATGCTGAAGAGTAATCAAGGAAAACACACCGAACAGACTTAACAGAGTTGTTTAAAGACGTAGTGATGAAATGAATAAGGGTGGAGACTGTATCCAAGGTGGATCTATTAAGCTTGTAAGCAAATTGTAACGGATCACTGGGAATGTTTATGGACTGCTGGAGGTGTTTGAGGATGGTTTTTTTCAGTCAATTTAAGAGCTGAGGATGTTAATGCTATGGGACGAAAACATTAGGCGAGGAGGGAAGATTTAGACGCTTTGGGGATTGGTATGATTGTGACCCACCTCCAACAGTCAGGGATAGTAGAAGTGTGAAGAGATTCACTTACAATAGAGGTAATTGCCCCAGCTAGGGAAATAGCACCGAATTTGAAGAGGGCTGGATGTAAATCGTCCGGACCCGCGGCCGAAGATGAGTTGCAACTATTTATGAGAATGGTCCCACCTGGGAAGGTGACGTTTTTGAATTCTGTCCCCCAGTTAACTCCATTCCTTTTTGGGGAAACAAAAGCATTTGGAAAATGTAAATGCCTCTCAAGTCATGAGTGATGCCACCGCTCGACAGAGAGAGAGAGAGAGTGGAAAGGAAAAACTGGGACAAGTTCTCCCGGTTGGCTGGGCTTCTCTCAGCTCATTTCGTCATTTCGTAGTCCAGTTCCATCATTGGCCGATACGTGTGCGTTTGTAATTCTCTCTAAACTTAGTCATATTGTCTGCTGGAAATATATTGGCGTTCATTGGAGCAGATCGTCATTATCGTAAACGCACAGACGATGGGAGGAGGAATGGGTCAGAAAATACAAATTTTTTGTTGACCAAGTTCTATCCCACTCCCCTCCCCCCGCCACCCCAAACGATTCATACTGATCAAGTTTTCACTTTTGTCAGTAATCCACAGCTAGCATGACTGACCATCGCTGTCTTTCCCATGCTCACATGCCAATCTTCTTCAGTCCTAGCCCAGTCACAAACATGTGCCGAGCAGGTGAAAAAATAAAAAATAGGGTCAACACACAAAAAACCGCTGTCAAAATTTCCCACACCACACCAATACTACTTATTCACACAGAAAGGTATAAATCTGACAGTTGGCAAAACCGGCACTCTATGAGTAGAGAAAATAAAATATTTCAGCCCACTTCGAACAATCCCTACTGAGATTGTGAGTATCACACAGCTCAGGTGTTGCAAATTGGAAAAAGGTATGTCAAAAGCAGTATTCGCTAGACCGATTCTATGAGTCCAGAGTTTTTCTGGGGCTGACACTGTGAACAAATGCAAACGAGCACCCCTGAATGACATCAAACGTGGAAGTGATAAAAGATGAATAATTTCTCGGTCATGTGTAAAACTATTAACTAACAAGGGGGGAACCTTTCACAATCGGCAAAATAAACCGGTCTACGAAATAAATTCTAAAATGTTCATCATGAATAAGGCAGACAAGCTTCTCTGATTCTCGTTGTCTACTGTTGCTAACTTTTTTCTTGCATCCACAATTCCTTGAAAAATGCATGATGTTTACTATCCGCTTGCTCGATTAGGCGGCAAGTCATCCGTCTCCAGTATCTATACCCGGACGAAATGGTACACCTAGGCATCTATTTTTCACAGATCGTCATTTTTTTCCCGGCAAAAGGCCCGATTGCTGTGGTACACTCTATCCATTCCCTCTGCGTCACTTTACACACACACACACACACACACACACACACACATACACACACACAAACACATCTTTAACCTTTCACTCTAAAAGCAGGATCAAGATAGTCGCCCTATAATGACTAGAGTTAGGCGAATTCGCTCTTGCAGCTTCCCTCTCTCCGAGAAAAACGTCCCACACCGTGCACATCTTTCTATTTTCCAATATTTTCTCCACGTCAAATTTACTCCCCTCAAACATTTCCAATGTCATCAGGGTCTTTAGAAGATCGTACTAACAGTTGTGCCTCACATGGGAATAGTGCCCCCTCTTATTCTCTAGCACCCTGCCCCGAATAGCGTCAAAGTCTCAACAAATCCTTCGCGCACCAAAGGAAACTCTTCTTCGTCCTTCAGGCCCAATCAAACTAACCACATTTAACGTGCGTACCCCAATGCGCATAGGATATCCGGCATGTTTAGATCGTACCCTCGAGACCCCAGCCATCGATGTGTGCGGTGTCCAAGAGACTTGCATCCCAGACTCTAGCTCAACTATCCAATCAAACCAAAAAGCGAAATTTCACTAACGTGTTCCTGGGGACCCTGAGGCCGTGGTTTCTGATCTTGCTGGTTTTGCTGTGGCTCTCAGTGAGAGAGCTGAAGCCGCGCTCCTGGATTAGATCCCAGTCAACATTCAGCTATACGCAGCGAAACCTAGAGTCTCCAAAAGCCTCAGTATGGTCAGGGATGGGTGTCTATGGTTGTGGTTGGTCACTCTTCCCTTGCACCTCACCAAATGCTCCCATATAACCAAGTGTCACAAGCAGCCCCTGTTGAGGAAATCCTACCCATTGCCTTCTCGTGAGAGGACGAAAAGCCGACATCCACGGCCATAACCGAGTAGGTGGACCACTGGTAGTTCACCTAGGCGAGTTGGCCAAAAGCCCTGATTCCAAACCAACTATGAGGAGGCCTACGAGCCACACACACAACTTTCTTAGTGTGGCAGTGGTCACCGGCTCGATTGGGCATTGAGGTGTATTGGGCACCTTGGACGTTTGACCTCGTCTAAAGGGAGTATGATTCGATCAACCGGAAACCGGGCCCCAATGGATTGCGGTTTTCGCACACCGCTTCGCTCGCTGCCTTGCGGGTTAGGCTTTGGCTAGCCGAAGGCTTCGGTTGTGGATTCCTCAAGAAAATTCACCTGCCTTGCACTGGGCAACCTGGCAGTATACAGCCCACATGCAAATCATGGAATGCTTTTATTTTTTATAAGGATTATTGTACCATGATTTGTTTGGCACACAGTCTGGATTCAGACGCGTGTGAAATAATAATAATAATAAATACACGATGATGGGCTCGGAGACCAATAAGGATCGGAGCACCCGCAGTTGCGAAAATTATGGGAAAACGCATGGACTTTCAGAACCGGATGTTGGACATGCCCACAGTGGTAGAGACGCGCTAGTCGACGCAACCTTGGTCAGGGGCATGAGACAGTTCTTGTGTGTACTGATTAGAATCGGGTAACACGTGCAGCGACGTTCACGCGCGTGTGTGTGAATGTGTGGCGGCTATGGTAACTTTTTTGTTTGTCACTCACGACTAATTAAGGTCTGTGTGTGTGTATTCAGCATCCCAGGAATACATTTTCTATAGTATAAATCAGTTTGGCTGACTTGTAAGCAAAAATCCGTTAGGCATTTCTCGACTGTAATAAACCGTATTCTCATTCTCATACCCACGCAATTTGATAGAACCTGGGTGGTTTCACGGCAGCGAAATGGTACAACTAAGAACGTTTCGCACACTACGATAATGTCCAATTCACGAATGGTGGCTTGAACGGAACAAAGAACCTGCTCGCTCGGTTGCATCGGATCTAGCGAGCCATAAGTCACTCGCATCACACATGAACGTCACGAGTGAGAGAGAGAGCAAATTCACTGCTGAGTTGACCAGGGCAGCAATCAATAACGCATCTAAATGGAACGCGTGGAATGGTAGGGTGAATGCCAAAAGAGCCTTAGTGTACTATCGATTGTGGTAAATCAATTCCAGGTTGGATTGGGTTGAGAAATTCGTATTAGAACTACTACTATTACTACGGCACAGCACGTTCTCGTGACTGTGAGGTTAATCAACTCGCTGTGTGTATGCTAATCAAAAAACATGTGGCGAAAACAGCAGTGATAACAACAAAAAACACTTGAGGCCCTGTCAGCGAACAATACCACTAGACAGTATGCAGATGAATGCATTTGGATTACACACCACTGAGTGCTGACCAGCGGAACGGGAGAAAATTCATGCACAGAAAGTGACCCCCCGGGTTTCATTGTCGCAACCAGCATGCTAGACCCAGGGACTTGAAGTGACAAACCAGATAGGGTGCCAAGAGCACTTGTGAACCAGAAACAGGCGGGTTTGAAAATCACGTGAGTGCGGTGGGTTTTGTGCAAGCAATTATACCGTTCCAACTCGCACTTACCGGTTTGGGCTGGTCGTTCAAGGCTAGCATAGTTGGACGGTATAGCGGACTGATCCGGACGATCTCCGTTCAGAGATGAGGAAGCGGGCGGGAGAGAACCGGGAATCGTGGATCCATACGATCGGGATGGAGAAGGATGGGGTGGGAGTGCAGCAGGATGAGTGCCCGCACTACCAACGGGAGCTGACGGGCCGGATGTTGGCGCCGGGTGTCCATGCGATCCGATCACGGTGACCTTGGTGAAAAAATTTACTCTTTTCGCACGGATTCGGTGCCGACGTTCGATCCTATCCAGACTGGGAATAATGCCCAACGGACTTTGTCCGACTACACTCGAGGCGATCGAGTCCAGGTTGGCCTCGGGACTCATGGGGACGCTCGGGATGAGAGTGACCTTACGTGCTTGCCACCATTCTCGATCACTGGCATTCACCACATGCAGTATGTCTCCGTGATGAAATAGTAGACCCTGGATGCAGGGAAATGTGAAGTGATTACAACCCTGGGAAAGTTGTGACAATTCGAAGGCTAACACGAATGAATCGCGCGATGAGTCGGATAGGTAGATCAGAAAGAAAAAAATTGAAAGTGGTGAGTACGAAAAAGCTTAAATATGCTTGTATACCCTTTCGAATTACTGGTTAACGCAACACATAGGAGATTTGGACTGGACTGTCGCGTATAGTTTATCCCATTGTAGGGATGCAAAAACAGGACTACGCACTGTTGCTGCTGTCGCTTTCCTTCTCGTTCGTGATCAAAATGCAACTGAGATGATGATCCGACGGTTCTTTTCGCTTATTTCAATTCGAAGCCTCAAAAAAGAAACTTCAATCAATTTGGACTGATAGAGTTTCAAACATCGTTTCCACACACACACACACACACACACACACACACACACACACACACACG